AGATACGGCCTAGCAAAAGGCCTGCTAACAGACAGTGAAGGCATGAAAGGAAAGGCATTCTCAGAGTAATAGCATAGCAACACACTGGATGTGTTTATAGAAGATTTTTTTCAAGTACTAGAATAAACCGTGACAAAGCCTTAATTAACACCTAATTTTAATTTAGGTATCTTGTTATAGTAAGGAAGAAACAGAGGGTGGAACAAATTCTACACACCACTTTGTTTGAATGGAAGTTACAATTAGATCAATACACAGTTCTCCATATGCATCTGAGAGCCCTACCTCATTGTCCTCTGATATGGCTGCAGCTGAGCAATGAGGTACAGGTCATAGAGTCTCCAAGTGGGACATGATGGTGCTATCATGTTCCCAGTCATCATGCTTGAGATAGATGGTGCAGAGTGGTTTTTTTATATACAGTTTTGGGATGTGCCTGTTCCTGAAAGAGGCTCCACTCACAAGTGACTGACACAGAATCATGCCCTGATCATGTCCTGGGTTGGACTACTGTAATGAGTTCTACATGGGGCTATTGTTGAAGAGTATCTGGAAATTTCAGCTGGTGCAAAATATGGTGGCTTGATGTGCGGCCCTAGAATGGCACATGGCACATCTTTGCTCTGTAAGTTTCATTGGTACCAGTTTGCTTACAGTACAATTCATGATGTTGATTTTGAAGCCCTTCATGGCATGGGGCCAGATTAATTAAAGGACCACCTTCACCCGGTTACATCTGCCATCTGTGAAAGAGGTTTATTTAGTGTGACCCAAGAGATGGCCTTTTCTGCTGTGATGCCCGTTCTGTGAAACACCACCCCCACCCCCTCACCTCTGAGGTGAGATTGGCCCCTTCCTTGATATCCTTCCATATGTCCCTCAAAACATGGCTACTTAAGGATCTCAAGAAAATGATGGTCTAAAAAAATGGCTGCAGCATTTTTTTTGTCTATTTAATAAATACTAATATTGCCTGATGTATTTTTAATTGTAATTGTTTTAATATCTTGATGGTACAGTAGTGTTTTTTTTTAATTGTGCACTTCTTACAGTTGCTTTTCTGTGTGATGGAAATAAATACATAAAATATCCAGCACTTCATTTTCTGTCTTACCAATTGTTACAATATCTGTGAAATAGGTTTGCCCTTTTAAGTAGCAGTATTTGAAATGTGCTATGACGGAAAATTCATAGAAATGAACCTGCAAATCAGATTTTAATGACGTTCTTTTCTAATGAATGTAAATCATGAAATCAGTATAAGGTGGTTTTTTAAAATGTTTTCAATTCCTTCAGAACTTGAAGAATCAAGACAGAAATGTCCACCATGCTGGTATAAGTTTGCCCACAAGTACTTGATTTGGAATTGTTCTGATAGGTGGTTACAAATAAAGAAAATTATTCATTTAATTGTGATGGATCCATTTGTTGATCTTGGAATTACTATCTGCATTATTTTAAATACACTCTTCATGAGCATGGAACATTATCCAATTGACGACTCCTTCAGTAGCATTCTTAAAAATGGAAATCTGGTAAGTCAAATAATGATAAATATAAATTATCTTATAATTCATAAAACTGCTAAATTCTAAGGAAGCTTTCCAAACATGATCTCTCTAAACTTTTTGAAAATATAAATCTGAGCCAGACATCAGTGCCTCTTTAGCAGGAATCATCAATAGAGCAAATATTGTTTTTTCCACTACAATAATGAAATCCTTCCTGAGATTAAATTTCGAGTCTATTTTATGGAATATGTGTTTCCCATTGCCCATTCCTTTTTTTCACAATTATAGTTACAACCTTAGGACTGTAGAGGGAGTGCTGTTCTAATTGAAAATTGTGGAAGTTACACATCTAGGAGGCTACTTTTGTATGATTGAAAGTTGTTAATGTTATCTTCAACAAACCTTTCCATGGTTCATACCCTGTGCTTTGATGTAAGTTCTCCTGTACTTCAGCTCTTTTAAAATTATGTCAAGCCATGGGTTTCCTCAGTTGGAGCTGGAGCACAAATGAGATTTAAACATTTTTTCCCCGCTGTATTTCAAGTATTGTTTCTTGACCTGTATGCCTACAAACAACAAAATAATACATGATGTTTTTATGGGAATGAATAACTTGTTGCATTCTACATTTAGGTTTTCACTGGAATCTTCACTGCAGAGATGGTCCTCAAAATAGTTGCTATGGATCCTTATTATTATTTCCAAGAAGGCTGGAATATTTTTGATAGCATCATTGTCACCTTGAGTTTAATGGAGCTGGGCCTTCAAAATGTGGAGGGATTGTCAGTCTTAAGATCTTTCAGACTGGTAAATATCTGACCTGCAGAGGGATATTTTTCCCCCAGCATAGCTGCAATTTTTCTTAGGATAAAGATACCTGCAGATTAGCTAACAAGCAGGAAGACCTAATATCTTTGGAATTGACAGACTCCATTTATCCTATTTGGAGATTGTTATAATAGAGCAGAAGTTTTATATTAGAAAAGCCAAACTAGGATTTTAGAACCTACCAAGATCTTCATTAGAGTTTTTGCAAACACTTGGATGGAATATACATATATAAAATTATTTTCTTATAGGGAAACAGGCTTATTTGATGCAGTGTCATTATATAGTATGCTGGGTTCTGATTAGGCAGGCCTGTCAAACTGGCAGCCCGCTGGCTGGATGTGTCACATGTAAGCCACGCCTCCCCCCAACTCCTCAAAGGCAAAAAAATATTGCAATCCATCACATGACATGATACCCATGTGATTAGGGGAGAATGAAAACTCCCTGTTTAGGATGTGCATTTTGGATGAAGCAACCCCCTTCCCCCTAAAAATCCCCTTCATCTGGAATAAGTTGAAAATATTGGAGGGATCTACAGTATACTCAGAAGAAAGCATTTTAGCCACTCTTACTAGAATAGAAAACCTATGTGGAATATGCAGGTACTCACTTACTTTCTCCACTGGTTTGCAAATGTGAGTGCACGTGCTCACTCTTGCACGTGCACCATCCACGCATGCGCTTGGTCTTCTGTGCATGCGCTTTGGCTTGAAAAGGTGTATAAATAGGATGGCATAGAGCCAAGGCAGGTGGACAGGCCCAACCACGATTTCCACTACCAGTTCAGGCGAACCGGTCGGCTGAATACCACTTCTGAGAATATGTAATGTAGAGAGAGATCACTATTCTGTTTCCAGCATTAATAGCATCTAGCTACATGGGCTCTAACAATAGAGAACATAAGTAACCTCTGTGGTAGGCAGGTGTTTGGTATAGGAAAGGCAGATTAAAAGGAAGCAGAATGAGAAGCTTTGTATTTCCCAGAAAGAGTTCCCTGAAGAAATGCCTAGGCCATTCTGGAATTGATTACAGCCTGGATTTCACAAGCATTCACAAGGATTAGCAGCAAGCCCCTTCAGATACAAGGCTGCCAAGTGTATGGCTTACTTCCCTATACACAAACACACACTATATATTTTCTCCTCATCCTTGAGAAGGAAAGAAAACATAGTTCATTATCTCCATAGCATTCATAAAATACCTCCAAAACAAAGTTGCAAAAATTGCTGCATTCACATTACAGGACAATGGTTTATGTTGCTAGGGGAAGCACAGAAGTAAGGGCACAAGCCAGACAGAGGAGCAGGGACATTGAAGGAACTCTTCCTATCTGTTTTCCTGCTCTATTGACAGCAGCAGCTATTGGAAGGAATGGCAACTTTCTGAAATAGCTACTACTGTGTTTCCCTGAAAATAAGACAGGGTCTTATTTTCTTTTGACTCCCAAAATAAGTGCTTGGCCTTATTTTCAGGGAGGTCCTATTATTTTTGAGCTGCAGGAGGCGGTGAGCAGGTTCACCTCATGACTACTGCTGTGTTGCAATATTTTCACACAGGGCTTATTTTCGGGGAAGGGCTTATTCTAGTGCATACACTCAAAAGCCCGATTGGACTTATTATCCGGGAGGTCTTATTTTCAGGGAAACGGTAGAAACCAATGAAATAAAAAACAGTTTGGATTGTTGGCATGTTCTGTTGTTTCCTTCAGCCAAAGCAGAAATTGTCACAGAAGCAGCAAGATCCATGGCCAAATGGGAGCCTGTGTGGGGCAGTCCTGCAAATAACTGACCTGCCTCAGAGTCCTCCTGCAAGGGAGTAATGTGTTTCCAAGAGGAACACTTGATAGATCATCTCGATCTGGCTTCAGCCTTGATTCAGCAGCAGGCTGACTCTACAATGGCGGTTCCATGTAAGGGCGCAAACTCTACAAAAAGATTTAACAATCATTTTGATGCCGTGGTGAGGAAGGTCTGTGGATGAAGCCTTAGTTTTCCCTCCAAAAATTGCTGCTGGTAAAGAGAGAATATTGGATGATTTGGGTGGGTTTTTTTTTAAAGCATTAATATATTTTCTCAGTTCATGCTAGCAATCAGATGCACATCAACAATTTTTTAAAAAGCAAGGAGTCTAGGAAAACTGGAACATGTATTTTGTTTGGCAATTGTTACTTAAAGAAGTCTGTGTTTTCAGAACTGTAACTAAAGCCCATTGTTCAGTATGTAACACATGTAAGTAGAGTAGGGCACACCATCCTCACCCACTCCCCGATGTGGAATATTTTCTTTATTTTGTGTTTATTTCAACTACAGGTTTTGGTAAAATGGGGTTCACTTTTATGGTGACATAGAAGCAGAGTTCTGATTTGTTATTTTTTAAAAGTGGATTGGAGAATTTTAAAGTATTCTGAGAGTCAATTAACAATAAGAATGACAAAAACAACAAAAACCCACTGCTGACAATTGACAGATTTGCGATCTGAGAGGGTTTGCGGTGTCATAAAAGGGTACCAGAGGAATGAAAAAAATTCATAGGCTACACGTTTACAGCTAATAGTGGGGTCTGGTGGTTCTCTGCATTTTAGCCAGCCTGTACCAATTCCTCATTTATATAAATTATATACATTTTTCTTACATATGAATTCTTCATTACTGTTTTCAGCTTCGAGTGTTCAAACTGGCAAAGTCTTGGCCAACTCTAAACATGCTAATAAAGATCATTGGGAACTCAGTTGGAGCTTTAGGAAACTTGACCTTGGTACTCGCTATCATTGTCTTCATATTTGCTGTGGTTGGTATGCAGCTGTTTGGTAAAAACTATGACATGTGTAAATGCAAAATTTCAGAAGACTGTACACTTCCACGCTGGCACATGAATGACTTTTTCCACTCATTCTTGATTGTGTTCCGAGTTCTTTGTGGAGAATGGATAGAAACCATGTGGGACTGTATGGAGGTTTCAGGTCAACCCCTTTGCCTGACAGTTTTTATGATGGTGATGGTGATTGGAAACCTTGTGGTAAGTAACTATGGAGATTCTCACTTATTCAGCTCATGGTTGTCCGAAATGTGCTTTTCAAAAGGCAACTGGACTTCCTTTGGTTTTTTTTCCTTGAAGACGTTTTGCTTCTTAGCCAAGAAGCTTCTTCAGAGCTGATAAAAACAGTCTTCAAGGAAAAAACAAAAAAAGTCCAGTTGCCTTTTGAAAAGCACCTGGTGGTAAGTATTTGTAGACACTGTTGTATACAGCTGTTATGGGATTGTTTCTACTGTGTTGTCTGATACTATATAACTCTTATTGTTGATGAGGTCAGCTAATTACCGTATTTTTTGGAGTATATAGACGCACCAAGATTTTGACGAGGCAAATTAAAAAAAAAAGTTTTTGCACTCTGCAGACCTCCCAAAAACGGCCCCTTTTTTGTGAAAACAGGCCCAGTGCTCCTGGGGGTGGGGGCGAAAACGAGCAAAAACGGTCCATTTTTCACAAAAGGGGCCCATTTTTTTCAAAAAATGGCATGCATAGTCTTTAGGAGGCTTATAGAGGCACTTCAGATAGTCACTCACGCCCTCATGACCTCAAGACTGGACTACTGTAATGCGCTTTACATGGGGCTGCCCTTGAAAAGTGTTCGAAGCTTCAGCTAGTCCAGAATGCAGCCGCGGGAGCGATTGTGAGTGCACCTACATTATACCTATCCTCCACGAGCTGCACTGGCTGCCCATTGGTCTCCGGACTCGCTTCAAGGTGCTAGTTGTTACT